AAGTTATGACAAGCTTAGCGTCTACTGCATATTAAGAGACATAGAAACTTCTCTGTTTCCCGCAGTGAAAAGGGAGATTCATATTTGTTCAAGAAACTCAACTGTAGGAAACATATTTTTATATGATAGTAATGAGTGCTGTCTATTGTTGATACGATCGCGGAGTTTATTTCTAGAGAAATAAATGAATTCCCTTCTACGTCGAATTTTTGTCTGAATTTGGATGTCGCTGCTTTCAAGCTTCTCTTCCTGCACACAGTTCAGAACTTCAATGGAATCGAGCTCTTTCTACAGTTTAACCAATCGAAGCTAAGCAACGACAATTATGGTGAGGAAAAAACTTTAAAGCTGACCTGAACGAGAATGCTCACCAAGAAAAGCAGTTGGTTTATGCACGCAATACTTGATAGGGATATTTGGGAACCATGTGTTTCTTATATTAGTGAATTCAGGCTGAATAAATGCCAGGATATTTCACCAGCTCTCACACTTCGCTGTAAAGCGCCACCAGGCGCATACTCGCAAATTTGTGAAGGTCTAGTCATCACTGCACCGGACTTATAAAAAACACAGCAAAACCTATTCACGCAAGAACCGTCAAGCTTTCCCACACTCATCGCAGACTTGATCTTCTACAAGCTACAGATTGCTCTCTGGAGCAATCACCGACGGGGGCGCCTTTACTAATCATGCAGTTATGGACGAATTCGTCAACTATCAGTCAATCGTTTTCGGGAACGAATACTGGAATGTTTCGTGTGAATGTCACTCGACAGATGAATGGATTTCATAGGCATTCGAAGAGAATATAATACTCGCTCCGCTGTTCTCATAAACAGAAAGATCATAGATGTAATTAATATAGTCTTCTTAATGAACTGATAGCTCCTGAAACAACCGGGTACTATTGGCATTGTTTTCATAGCTAGGCTAATAATAACGAAACGAATCTGAAATGGCATCATTGAATTAGCTTCTCGAAAGTGAAACACTGGAGGCGTAGGCGTGTAGCTTATTCAGCAGGGCGACTAGAAATCCAATAGAAAAGCTGACCGCTGTTATGCGCACTCTCGCATACGTACTCGCCTCCTTTCGGGCGACATGTGTTACACTTTTCCCTACGACCGACTTTTGCGAGAGTGGCTGACTCGCTTTTTCACGCGCTCAATAACATTTCATTTGATTTTATCTACTCTCGACGAGGATGCAAATTTGGAAATGTCAACACTTGTTTAATGGTCACTTCGTAGCAGTGTATTTCGTGGTCGAGTGGTCTTAATTTCTTCCTTTTCCACTCACCATAGTCATTGAGTTCGTAGGTGTGATAAGTAGCTCTGTAGAGAGCAAGTCTGGATTTTGATGAAAACAAATTCAATTCGTCGAACCATGGTTGTATGCTTTTTCAGAAAAGATAAGCTACAATGAGTCATCACACTGACAGAGCACTCTACCTTATGTAATAGCATAATAGGGTAGGCAAATTATCCTTGTGAATTGCAATAGATTGTCACCTAGGAAGATCACCCACTCTTTGAAGCATCCCGCTTTTTTTACACAATTTCTCCGTTGTTACCAATTATCTTGATTACTTCATTTCCTTCCGAGGAAAATTTGAAATCTTCCGTAAAAATTCTCTAGCTGCTCAGCAGGTCACCCGTGTTGACGCAAGAAATACATATGTATGCAGTGCTGTTCGAAAAAGTCACCATGAGCCAAGTCTGTCATAACTCATCTCAAACTGAATTTTGTTTCAGCTGCTTTTTTGAATGTTAGCAATACTATGTAAGCAGTTAGCTGAATGTGAATCAGTGGCTTTCAACTATGACTAGCTCTGAGTAAAAATGGAAAGATCGCCTTAGGAACTTCAGCGATCATTTATAAACTTGAACGTACAAAACCGGAAAGAAGCAAACGATTAAGCAACGTTAAGTGGAGGAAAATATCGAAGATCGGTATAGCTAGGTGACCAATGGTCATAAAACGACAGCCGAACGAAAACACGAGTTTGAGGGAAGATCTTTTGCATCTTATCAGCCCAAAAGTTATGTTGTTACTGCCGGAATCAACAACATCATGAGCTTCCATGTTCACAAAGTTGTATACATACATCCACAGAGGTTTAGTGACGTGAACGTAATAAATGCTGAATGCCTAGCTACCTGAAGCTAGGAAAGTTCAGCTGCTATTATGAACGCGACCTTCCCTTCAATCTCAAGCAACACCCGGTCTAAAACCTTTCCTACAATCTCCAAGTACCACCTCAAATTGTGTGATCTGTTCAGATGGCAGTGAGTGTGATTGTTTTGTTTGGGATGGTCTACAAAATCACTTGCCGTAATTGTATGGACGAGCATATTGGGGATAGGCTGAACCACTACACGTGAAGATTACGGAAAACTTGATTAGTATGAGTCGATGTGACGAGTCTGACGCCATGTTTATTCACAGAGTTCAGGAACATAACGGAGACGTTTCTCAAGTGAACGTGGAGGTCATAGCGCAGGAGTCGCGATTGTGTAAAAACTTTGAGGCATTTCGGATACAGATCACTGATTCAAAATGATCAAAGGAAAGAATGTACAACGAACTCACGGATTACTTGGCTTTATATGAATTTGACCTCTCCACAGTGACTTTTGATGAGTACTTCATCAACTGACAATGGTCGGGTACTACATGGATTGCCGCGGGGTGACGAAAAACTCAAAAAGCTAAACTACATAAGTGTCCCTCTTTCAGATGACGTGGGTGTTGTGGAGATCTCGAATTTCAGTGAGACTGTGGAAACGTTTGCCCGGATAGTCGCAGATCGTTGTGATCATTTCAGGTTCTGAAGAGGACGATTCCCAAAATGTCGACTTAATAAAGCATATAAAGAAAGTTCCTGAAGAGGTCAAGAAAGTAATTCAGTAATGCAATAAGAAACGCCGAGGTTTATCAGAAGCCGTGGGTGAATATAATTCGAGGTCTTGTACTCTGACCAAAGTGGTGAACAATGGTTGATGTAGGCCCGATTGGGTTATCTTTGTCAGTCTTAGAAAGTGAGTCCATATGGAGAGAATTCGCGATTGTTAGATCAGAGTACCTGGAGCGCTACCTGTAACAACTACGAGACAGACAAATTTTCCAACTGCTGAGTGCTGAGTAAATGTCGAAGTACTTCTTATGGATATTCTGTACCGAGCTGTAATAACCACAGCATGGTGGAACATTTGTCTTCAAAGGCACAGTTCACAAGATTTTGGGTGAACCAGATTATGACGAAAAATAGAAGATAAGATGGAAAATAGTGCGATGGAGGCGAAGGAACTGCGTGGATCGGTGTTCCTGAAGTGAAAATTGGCTTGAAAAAATCGTTAAAAAGGGGCTGCACGAGAGTGAGACCAGAAGAACGAAGAAGAGTGGGGCGTCTGGACCAGCTGCGCAGCGCGTCATTGCGTACGTGTGGGTCCTGGTGCAAATATCTGACTACGGTAAGCAAAAATTCATTCGCTTATAAGCATAAGCAAACAAAAAACCGTAGTTACAGCAAAAATAGCTCACCTTTTTCAGCCTCTTGGGATAGGAAACTGAAAAAAGGGATCGCGGCAGCAAAAAGAATAACAGAGGAAAAAAGAATGGGAGAAAAGCATCGCCTCATCACTCGGCGTTCAGCTGGTTGTGTGTGGGTCCTAGAACGAATATTCGCAATCTGTATTGCCTCGACACTCATCTGACGTGACATCGATGGAGAGGCGGGAAAGCGACTCAGGACTGCAACAGGGCTTCCACTTTGCCCTGACCGTCGAGATTTTGGGATTGAGAAGGACAATTCTACCACCCGTGGAGGGCACTGAGTACTCCTAAGGGCAGAACTCAGTAACCATTTCTATTGTGAACCGTGCCTTTAGATCTAACCATTTCTCCTTTTTGTATTTCTGAGAGGACCAGTATATTTCAGTGAGGAAAAGAAGGTGTAAATAGTGTGCAGCATTGAGATGTATTGCTATGTATTAGTATGGACTTTAATAGGGAAGAGACTTCTGTTTCCATCATAATCAGGAAGGCTTCTAGCTTCCGTGAGGCGAACTTGCTCAACTAGCTGTTCGCTGTACCCATGCTGTCAAACAGCTGAACTGATATCGATTCTAAAGATGAAAACTTTGCTTGTCGACATTATACATTAATAGAAATTAGCTAAAAAGTATTCAGACAGACGGAGAAGCAGTGGAAATTATTCAGATTTAGTCAAACAGCTGAACTGATATCGATTCTAAAGATGAAAACTTCGCTGAATAGCGCATGTCATAATAGTAAAGCAGACGTTGAGCAGAACGTAAAAACCAAAGTGGCATTAGAAAAAGGGGAAATGTAATATTTTGAGGACTACACAGTAAATGTTAGCACATAATTCTTTCAACTTGCCTACAAGGAAGCCTGTTGGAAGTCATATCGTCAAGACCACACAATAGTTGCAAGTACACGACTTGCTGGCAGGCAAACTTCTATGGAGAGGGTAATCTCACACATATTTTTGAGAAATCGCTCAATTTTTCGACATTATACATTAATAGAAATTAGCTAAAAAGTATTCAATTAGACGGAGAAGCAGTGGAAATTATTCAGATTGTGTTTTTCATTACATCAATAAGATGTCACTTACGCATTACCACGAATTTTACCAGAACACCATTCTCAGCCTTCTCCACTGGATCCAATTCGACTCGAACAACTCCACTTACTTATTTCACATCAAGTAAGACTGCAACGAAAAGGGAAAGAAGTGGAACGTGTAAGTGGCCGAAGTGAGTAGGTGCGGGAAATCAAGATGGCAACATTTGCAGTGTTGAACTCGCAGAATAGTGGGCCCGTAGCTGCGCGTTGGATAATTTTTGGAATCTCAGTGCCTAACGAAAGAACACTTCAGCTCAAATGAGATAGCGGAGAGTCCAAATATCGCGAAGTTGAGGAGTCTCTTCCTTTGGACTATGCGAAAAATGGCACAAAGGATGCTCCGGAATTTAAGGCTCTTTCATTTATTCCCCGTAAAGCTCAGTGTTCATTTGATTTCACGTGGGATGCGGCGCAAATTTTCAGAGATGGAGATCAGTGAATAGTTCCCCTGTTAACAAGTGACAGGATCTAGGGTCTCAGCACATTCAGACACTCTAATAATTCTTTGATGGATAAGCTTTCCACTATGGTGGCGCACCCCAGGTGTATACTATCACACCCGCTATCATGCATTTAACAGGTAACTGGTTGGTCACGCTATGCGCGGGGGTTCTAGAAATAAAGAATAGAGCCGCATGAGCTTCTGTTTCGTTTCAGTCGTTTTCCATCTGAGCCAAAGCCCTGACAATGCTGTAGTAACCATCATTTTGTTTGTGGTCTCATGGGAGCCATGAATATTTTTTAGGAACACCAACAGCCGAGCTGTTGGTGAGGGTGTCTCGATTCTTATTACGCGAGTATTTAAGCCTGCCACGCGGATTTCTAATACGCGACCACAATAACTCGAGTCCCCTCAAACACCAACATTTAGATAATAGGCTTTATCTAATGGTTAGCAAGATAAAAACATACACTTCAAGTAGGAGAAGATATGTGCCAGCAGAATAGATTACGAGCAGTTATACGATCGATAGTGCAATACGCGTACAATAGAGAGAATATATCTGAGGATGTCTTTCATTCCTGCCCTTATATAGCGCGGTTTCCCGCGCACTAGGTCACGTGCTCATTGCGCACAATCTTTTTTCTTCTTCAAGTTCGAATAAATCTTTCTTGGTATCTTCCAGATTTCTTGGGGCCTCTTCCTTAGCGTCGGGAATATTACATAATGCTGTATGATGGCCTTCTCTAGGGATGAGGTATTCGAAGTAGGTACCAGATACGCGACCACAATAATAGCATTTTTTCTTCTTCGTTCCACAGTCTTCCCGTTTGCCACATTGGGCTAGACAATATTTGCAAAGTCTTGTTTCCCGAATTATACTCCATCTGCGGTTTCCGTTTATTTATCTCGGACAGGAGTCGGAAAAGTGCTCGCCTTCGACATCGCAAAACGCGCAAGCTAGATCTTTTTTCATATTTGGAGAAAAAATCTCCTTCCTGTATGGAAAGTCCCGAAGGTCTTTCTCCATCTAATAGATCCTGTGTTTCCTTTCAGCTGCGAGCTTTTTTAGCTCTTCTCTTCTTTGCTCATACTGTCTTATATTCGGATTCGGTCGTTGTTCCGGGCGTTTAATTATAATAACGCGATCCCTTTTAAGTCGTTTTTCAATTTCTTCCGGGTCAAGCGTTGCCATCCTGAAAGGACGGGCATAAACTTTGAAAAATTCTCCTCGGAAGCTGCATTGTTTGTTTTTCAGTGTATCATTTAAGTAAAGAACGCGTATATTTGATTTAGGTAAAGACTCTGAACTGAAATGACTAGGTAAATTGTTATGTATTCTGTGCAGATTTTTTAATGACAATAGGTGAACCCAAGGGCAAACGCGGACGAATTGATGGTGCGTCTTTGTTGCTTCTTTTGCCTTGTCTCTTAACGATTTTTTGATGTATAAGTATATCCAGGTAGATATTATTTCTGCAAAAGGGGTACCTATGTCCAAGTGTATTCTGCATCGCTGCGGGACATTTTCTGGTCCGAGGAACCCATCTAGCGGAGAAGTATGAAGATGTTCAAGCTTGTCTGTTTGTTCTTTCCACCCGGAACTTTCAGTTAATGTTGCAGCGAAGAAAACTGTCTCTTGGTAAGGTATTTCTTCGTTTTCCTTGTAATCTACTTTCTTCCTCTGGCGGAGATTATAACGCGAGTGTGGTTTTTGCTCTACTTCTTTGTCTCTTTTTGTGTTTTCTGCAGAAACTGCCGTATTGTCCTCATCCAATTCCAGCGGAATTAATAGATTCAACGGTCTTCTGATCTTTTGGCGAGAACGGAGTAGTATCACCGCTTCTCTGATTATGCCTTCTTTATTTTCAACGAGTTCCGAAATTCGACCTATCTTCCATTGGTAACGCGGTTGAAGAGTCTCGCTGACCAACACCACCTTTTCTATCTTAGGTGCTAGACGCGAACCACGTTTCTTTCCTATGTCTCGTTTGTGCTTTTCTCGCAAAGATGTAATATATTGAGATTGCTAAATCTGCCAGAATTTTTCCGTTAATTGGCATGAGCTTTTCAGCGCTTGAAGTACCTGTCCTTTTGTTTGAAGGCTTGCGCGATCTGTTGGGTTGACGTATGTGGGGTCGTCGACTAGGTCTTCTGTTTCCAGCACAGCTGGTAGTTCAAACTCGTTTTGCAAGAAATCTATAGGTCTGAGAACTCGATCTGTATCGGACTCTGATTCCACATACAGAAGTGATCGAGTGTTCAACATGCACTCGATTTCGATAATGAGCGTATTAAGCTCTCCACGTGTCGGTGTAGTTCTTCCTAGGGATTTGTACAGCGCCAACTACACCGACTGTATTAGTCGCTCATATACCCCACCTTGCCAGGGTGCGTAAGGTGTTATGTAGATCCATTCTATTTGTCGGCTACTTATTTCTTTAGCGATTATGTCATCATGCTTCATCCGCTGGTAGCACTCGGACAAAAGCTTTCTCCCAACGCGAATGTAGGAGAGTTATCGTTATGAGAGTTATCACATGAGATAGTTGATGTTGTTTGACTAACATCTTGCTGGCCATATTTATTTCTCCTCCTCTGAGAGTCATAGATTCCCCGATGGTAGTCTTCCTGAAGATTAGTGAAAGGGTGATTGGCGATGTTCGTTTCTTGTTCNGAGTGTCATTCGAGACCTTTTCAGCTCACTAAAGATGGTCTTTGTCCTCGAATACACGCGAATCGCTTCATCAACCGAATCCATAGTAAGGAGAAGATTGTCGGCGTACAAGTTCTCCTTAACCTCCTTGACCAGTTCTTTATCGCTTGTGTACTGATCCAGGTGATAATGAGTTGTCGCCGCGAGTAAAAACGGAGAGGGAAGTAGGCCAAAGGTTACGCGTGTGAACCTGAAAATCCTCAAATTCCCTGCAGTAGGAGGAATTTTGTGATCTCGTAACCATATGCACCGTGTTGCATCTCGGTCGACCTGGTGGAGAAAGGTCGACCAAGAAAGCTTTCTCCACATCTGAGATTAACGCGACTCGCCCTATCCGGAATCGGAGAATAATTCCATAAAGCTTCGGCAGAAATACTGGTCCCCGATGTAGTGCATCATTCAAGGAGGGAGAATTTTTATAGTGCGCTGATGCATCGAATACTATTCGTATTCTCGTCGTATTCTTTTGCGGTGTCAACACCGCCTGATGAGGAAGGTAATGTATTTTGCCCTCCACTGGCTCTTTCTCATCTGTTACTTCCTCTATGATATTCGAGCGCAGTTGTTCCTGGAAAATGTCATTATATATCTCCAGGAGATCCTTATCCCGTTGAAGCTAGCCCCATACGCTCATAAGCCTTCTTAACGCGATGGTTCTATTATCGGGTAGTTTCATTGGAATTTCCTTCCAAGGTAGGCGTACATAATAGCCGTCGTCTTTCTTCTCTATGGTGTTGAAAATTTTCCAGCACCTTTTTATCTTTGACTGCACTTCACTTTCCGCCTTGGTAAATTCTTCTACGCCGTCTTGCTCTAAGGACCAATACTTTTCCCACGAGGCCTTTTCGTCCGTTTCCTCCATGGGTTTTCCCTTCGAGAACGCGTTTACTTGAGTTTCCAGCGGCCAGAGTTGCTCCCACTTTTGGTCGAGGTCGTCTTCTTGATTCTCGGTTTCTTCCATTACTTGGGTAATGGAAGAAATCGTGAGTTTCTTGTATTTGCCCCGTTAGGAGATGTCCTAGATGAGTTGGTAATAAATGCAATCCTGAAGGAAGACGGATCTGCGTTTGATCTTCTCGAAGAAGTTGCCATAGTTGGTCAAAACCCACCAATATCAACGGTGATCATAGGAATCAGTCGCATTGCCATTTCCGACTTCCAGTAGACGTGTCTGCCAAACACTCCCTCCAGCTGCGCTCTCATGTTGACATCCAAGTGGTGAATGGAGAACAGCGGTCGGAGGTTGGACTCAAGAGCACTGATCGAACAGTGTCTTCGCGCTGATCCTGCTCGACTACAGTGAGAACCTGCCTGAAGTCGCCACCCACTACCATAACTTTTAGACCACAGGGAACATCAGTTTGCATTATATTTTTCGAAAGTGAATCTACTGCTTCTGAAGCAACCTTCGTAGCCATGGAAAATTCACCTCATATAATCATGTCAGCTGACATGAGTTGTTGGGCCTCTCTCTTTTGTCGTTTCATAGCGGAATTAACATCTTCATCAGCAATAATCGATTTGGATGTTGATTTCACTAAAAGATTAGCGGCGATTCCTGTTCGTTACACAGATATGTTTTCCCACTACTCCCTGGTCAATCGACGGAAATACAGTTGTTTCCGTTACCCTCCACTGCAGCAAAAATATTGTCTGCTGCCGCTTTTTGCATAGCAATGAGAGTTTCATGTCGAAGATTTCCTTCTCTTTCACAAGCTTTATAGTCAGTAGAGGCGCTCGGTAATGAGGGACGGTCCTGCGTTGGTGGAGTTACGAACTGCGTCAAATCCTTTCTAAGCAGATTTTATTTTATCGAAAACATCGTAATACGCATAAAAGATCGCCAGTTGTCTGTCTATTCCTTGATAGACATAAGCATCAGGCATCGCATCGCCGAGTCCGTTCTTTCGATCTTGCGCTTGTAGAACATTACAAAATTACATCGAGCATTCAAGAAACTCCCGGTTGTTGCAGCAGATTGGTAATGGACTGCTTTTTGAAAACTTAGGCATAGATAAGTTTCATCATCGAAAAAGCCAGCAGCTTCCTCTGCATTGACGAAAATGGGGTAGTGTCCCATCAACAGCACGGATGTCGTCGAAAAATGTCTTCGCCTTGTATCGAGTACGAGGATCTCTAGACTATATCTTTCAGTGTCTCTTGATGAGATAGTATACGTTAACATTACACATCACATTACATTACATTCCGAGTTGCTTTCCCCGGGGGGCGCGCGATCCACGCGTGACCCCATTAGAGCTCCTCGTGCACGCAGCATCGTTTCAGTACCTTTCTGTTGAGATGGACCAAATAAATTGGCAGTAGTTCACGGCTTCACCATGAATAGAGCAAATCTCTTTATTATGGAAATGAGGCCCATTCGAGATCAAAAATTCACCTCGTAGGTCAACTATTTACATGTCAACGTTCAAAATAAGGATAACTTCGATTTTTTTGATCTTAGAGAATGCAATATTTCTGTAAACGTGCATAATTGGTCATTTTTACTCATTCTACTTATAAGTTCTTGGTTCTTCCATTATGATGGTAGGCATGATGTTTTAGCGCGTTTTGTCCGATGACCTCATGATATTGACGCGTGAATCGCACCACACCCGCTTTCCCCCCCCCCCCCCCCCCCCCCCCCNCTTTCCCCCCCCCCCCTCCCCCCACCCACCAGTCTAGGCGTCCATCCTCGGTTCCGATCAAACGTAAATGCTCAGGAATTTGAAAGTAGTAAAGGTTCCTAGTATCCACACAGATGACTATGGCTGAAATGTGCCGTCGAGAATTTCAGCACACCGAGCGTTTAGTTGGGTGTATGCTGTATTAGTCGTGAGCGATTCTCGCACTCGTTTCAACTACTTCTCTTCCTTGAACGAGCGGAGTAAACTATTCGAAAGTTTGGCAGATGCATTGCTGATCCATAAACCGTGCGTGACATGTCTTGAACCTGGTGTCCGAAAATCCTGTATACGCATTGACTAGCGGAGAAATACCTCGTATTGAAATCCTGTTTTATTTCTTCGAACTTATTCGCTCTTTCAATGTTGACGTTTCCTCAATCGTGTCCTTGAAAAATGTATTTGTAGAGGTAGTTGATGGCTAAAATCACTCCACTAGTTGCCATGTTCAGATAACAATTATACTTCAGTACCAAGTATGGATTTGTAGTTCACTATCCACTGGCTACTATAAGATGTTCCATGGCTTTCCAACGGATAGAGATCATTTTTGTAGAAAGAATATCCGTTGTCTTCCATGATGTATATAGTCGTGGAGGCTTTGGAAATCTCTTCGAACATGATCCCCCTGCATACATAGTGAGTGGGGATCTGCGAGACCACACTTTCGGTGAAGCGTGTAAGAAGTGATAACAGTGTGCAGTTGTGGTTCCGTTCTTGAAATAGGGTTTCCAACACTGACTGCATTATCACATTCTTCAGACGAGCGTACCTTACATCTTTCCTTCGTTATCA